ATTAAACTTCCGTCTGTTCTATTCTTGCCTTTTATTTTCAAGGACTTAAAGAATAGTCTGCATTTTTGTTCTTTGAAAAATGCTTCTGTTAATCCCATGACTAAATAACATGCGTTTAAAAGAGGGCCCTTTTATATTCTGACACTTAATGAAGAAGACGTCTCAACTTCATAATGGTGTTATCATACGATAAAAGAAATAGGAACACACATGTTTATTGCAATAACTTTGACAAGTTTTGAATAACATTTTACATGTATTTGAATTACATTTATAACTTTCTCGTAACTGTTTTCCTTGTAACAAATTTATACAAAAGAAGATTAATAGATACAGGGTTTTTCCTTATAACCCGTTTTAGTACATAGTCTTTACCCTAACCGTTTTGGGGTACATTGGTCCCTTTAGCTCCAGAACATTTAGGAAGAGTTTGAGAGATGACTCCATTGTTCTCATGGGAAAGGATACTATGATGAATGCCATTGTTCTCACGGGAAAGAATACTATGATGAATGCCATGACTTCATAACTTTCACTCCGTACTTGATTCTTCTAGGCTTGATTTTCTAAATCTTCTTTGCCTTTTTTATACACGTGACTGTATATACTATGTAGTCCCCCAAGTGTTTGAGTGTTGAAGTATGAGCCTCGAGCACTTGGTAGTCTCCTTCACCTGGTCCTTTTCCTGAAAAGGAAATACATACGGGACTCGGGGGTGCGATTATAGATGAAGACTGCTTAACCCGTGTATACTTCTATCAGAATAATTGTAACCCTAGGCTAGGAATTTTAGTTTATTCCATTTTGCCTTACAGGTCGTGACTCATCATTTAGTACGGGTTAGCGTTTTGCCTATCATCTAAAATCATTAGTAAAATTTTAACAATTCAAAAAATATAATTTAACATGGTGATACCTGACCGTGAATTTTTCCTTAGAAGTAGTATCTCTTCAAATGAACTGCATTCCAATGTGAAGGAAGTACCTTCCCGTCCATTGTTTCCAACTCGTATGCTCCTTTTCCTGCAACATCTCGAACTCTGTAGGGTCCTTCCCAGGTTGGACTTAATTTACCTGCGTTGGCTGCCTTTGCAGATTGAACAACCTTTTTTAGCACGAAGTCCCCAATTTTGAAGTATCTCAGTCGTGCTTTCCTGTTGTAATATCGTTCGATCACTTGTTTTTGTGCTGCCATTCTTATTAATGCAGCTTCTCTCTTGCCTTCCAGTAGATCCAAATTGACCCGCATCTCTTCGTCATTAGACTCTTGTGTTGCTTGTGATAATCTTGTACTTGCTTCTCCTATTTCAACCCGGATTAGTGCTTCAGCTCCATAAACTAAAGAGAAAGGGGTTTCACCTGTGCTCGCCTTTGTTGTCGTGCAATATGCCCATAAAACTCCGGGTAACACTTCAGGTCAATTACCCTTTGACTCCTCTAAACGTTTCTTTAAATTGTTGATTATGACTTTGTTCGTTGATTCTGCTTGCCCGTTACCCACTGGGTGATAAGGTGTAGATGTAATCCTTTTAATTTGCCAACTCTCAAAAAACTCTGTGACTTGAGCTCCAATAAATCGAGGGCCATTGTCGCATACAATTTTCTTTGGTACACCAAATCGGCAGATGATATTATAAAATCTTTAACTTCCTTTTCTCGCATCTGTTTAAATGCTCCTGCCTCTACCCATTTAGTGAAATAATCGGTAAGTACGATAAGAAACTTTACCTGTCCTTTTGCTTGAGGTAATGGTCCTACTATATCCATTCCCCATTTCATAAATGGCCACGGCGCAATGACTGGATGTAATAATTCTGCTGGCCTGTGTATATTGTTACCATACCTCTACCATTTATCACATTTAGCCACAAAACTTTTCGCTTCTTCTTCCATTTTAGGCTAGTAGTACCCTGCTCTAATCAAAGTTCTCACCGGTGATCTTCCTCCTGTGTGATTCCCGCAATGCCCCTCATGTATTTCCCTCATTACATACTCCGTTTGTGCAGGATTCACTTCAATACCACGGTTAGAAACAAGAAAACCTAAAAACTTACCTGATGCTACACCAAATGCACATTTTTCTGGATTCAACTTCATGTTATATTTTCGTAAAATCTTAAACGTGTCAGACAGGTGCGATATATGATCTTCCGAACGTTGAGTCTTAACTAGCATATCATCTATATATACCTCCATGGTTTTACCTAAATGTTCTTGAAACATTTGGGTAACTAACCTCTGATACGTTGCACCTGCATTCTTAAGACCAAAGGGCATTACCTTATAACAGTAAGTCCCCTTGTCTGTTATGAAAGAAGTTTTTTCTTCATCTCCTGGATCCATCTTGATTTGATTATAGCCTGAATATGCATCTAAAAAACTTAATAGCCCATGCCCTGCAGTAGCATCAATTAATTGATCTATGTGCGGTAAAGGAAAAGAATCTTTTGGACAGGCTTTATTAAGGTCTGTGTAATCTACACAGACTCGCCACTTACCGTTCTTCTTAGGAACCACAACAGTATTAGCTAACCAGTCAGGATATTTTACCTCACGAATTGAACCAATTTTTAGCAATTTTTGAACTTCTTCTTGAATCACCTTATTCTTGAAAGTTCCTTGCTTTCTTTTCTTTTGCTTGACGCGAGGGTATGATGGATCTTCATTCAATTTATGGGTCATGACTTCCGGTGGTATCCCTGTCATGTCAGAATGGGACCAAGCAAAACAATCTGCATTAGCTTTTTAAAAATTCAATCAATGTACGTTTTACCTCCGGGCTAAGATTAGCTCCTATGTACACTTTTCTCTCGGGCTAATGTACAAATAACACCACGACATCTAGCTCTTCTATCGTTGTTTTGATGTTCTCGTTCTCCTCTGGTTCTTGAATGGTATCAGGTCTTGAATCCACATCCGTTTGCTTTTGTTCGGGTGAGGTTGACACCGTGTTACCCTCACCTGAATTCTATAATTGCTATTTGTCTTCACCCTTAACAGTTGAATCTGCAACGGAATTGATGTTCCTAGATGTTTGTTGATCGCCTCTGATTTGTCGTATTCCCCATGGAGATGAAAATTTAATAACTTGATGTAAGGTTGAGGGAACAACATCCATGTCATGAATCCATGGCCTCCCAAGAATCATATTGTAAGCCATTTCCATATCTACGACTTGAAATTTGGTATCTTTAACGACGCCTTCTGCAAATGTAGTAAGTATTGCTTCCCCTTTCGTTACAACACTAGAGTTGTCAAATCCCGACAAAGTATGTGCTTTTGGAATCAATTTATCCTCCGCTTGCATCTCGCGCAATACTCGTATTAAAATAATATTCACAGAACTACCTGGATCAACCAAAACTCATTTCACGTTAGTGTCATGTACAAGTAAAGATATTACCAGTGCATCGTTATGCGGAGTTAAGAGTCCCTCGGCGTCTGCGTCGTTGAATATAATAGTCTCCTCTTCCAGTACATGTCGAGGCCGCTTCCCGTGGGTAATTGATACTTTTGAAACCTTTTTATATGATACATCGTTGATCTCTTCACCCCCACTTATAACGTTGACAGTTCTCTTGGGTGAAGGTGGTTTTGGAGGCTCTTGCCTGTTCTTCATGTATGCTTGTTTACCTTTCTCACTGAATAACTCAGTGAGATACCCTTGTTTTAGCAAATGATCAACTTCACCTTGCAGAAACCTGCAATCTGATGTTTTATGCCCGTGATCGTTATGAAATTCGCACCAATGATCAGGGTTTCGTCTGTTTGGATTCGATCGCATTTCCTTTGGCCACCGTACCTTATCTCCCATGCTTCTTAAAATAGCTACGAGTTCAGAGGTGCTTACGTTGATGTTGTAACCACCGACCTTGCCTTTAAACTTCCATCATCGTCTCGTGACCCGCGTGTGTTCCGATCATTCCCGAACCTTGATGAGGAGCATGATTCCCTGTTTCTAGATTTGTGATCGTACCTTTGATTATCTTGTCTTGACCGTGAGTCTTTTCCCGGAGGTCCCATGTAAGGCTCGTACCTGTTTTTACCGGATCTCTTTTCATTTTCCACACGCCTTGAGCTTACTTTTTCTTCTGTTTTATGTCGTAAAATAATGTCTTCTTCAATCCTCATCTTTGTATTGTATCTGTTGTAGACATCATTCCACGTTGTTGCTGGGAATTCTCGAAGGCTTTCCTTGAGTCGCCTCGTGGCTTCTGAACTCTTCTCATTCAAATTGCTGGTGAAGGCTATGGCTGCCCAATTGTCAGGTACTCGTGGCAATGTCATTCTTTCCCGTTGAAATCTATCCACGAATTCTCTGAGCAGCTCTGAATCTCCTTGCTTGATTTTGAAGATATCCTCCATTCTTTTTTCAACTTTTTGAGCTCCCGAGTGTGCTTTGATAAATAAATCTGCAAGCTCAGCAAAAGAATTTATAGAATTTTCAGGTAAGAGAGAATACCATGTTACTGCCCCCTTAGTGAGTGTTTCACCGAATTTTTTGACCAAGACTGATTCAATCTCCTGCTTAGTCAAATCATTGCCCTTGACTCCTGTTGTAAATGCGGTAACATGATCTCGTGGGTCTGTTGTCCCATCATACTTTGGAATATCGGACATCTTGAACTTCTTTGGAATTGGGAGAGGGGCGGCACTTGGCTTCCATGGCTGTTGAGAATATTTATCTATATCTACTCCCTTGATCACGGGTGGTACTCCGGGTATTTGTTCTATACGGTCGTTTTGCTCCCTAAGCTGTTTCTGCAATGTTAGCACTAGATTTTGCAAATCAGAATTAATTGGATTACCTGGGTCTCCCTCCTGTGTTTCACTAGGGGTTCCACCGCTGCCTGAATTAACCAGTCCAGAATGAGGGTTCTCCAAAATATTGTTATTTGGAGTAGGTGTGGGTGGAGCAGCAGGTAATTGACTAACAAAAGCTTGTAAAGCCTTGTTGACCTGAGTAGCGATAAGTTTTTGTAAGGCATCATCCATAGCTTATGCATTTTCAAATTGACCTCGTTCTTCTGTGTGAGATCCTTCAGGAGTGCCTTCACGAGATTGTCGTGGTGAGTCTCGTGGGGTTTGATCATTTTGCGGATCTCGCTGATTTTGCTGGTTGATTGGGTTTCCTTAATATTGTCATTGTTGTTCGACATAGTTGATTCCACAAAGAAAATCAAGCTGAGATATAATTGATTATCAGACTCCCAGTAACGGAACCAATTTGCTTAACCAAAAATTAGATTTTAGGTCAAAGCTTGAATTTAGTAGATTACGGGTTACTGATAATCGGTAAAGAGTATATAAAGAAAGAAATTTGTAGATAGTATGATCAGAAAGCAAATAATTCAAAGTATATTTCAATAGTATTTTTTTCCGTCCCTACAGTTGTTTGTGACTTTCCCTTTTATAGCCATTTTGGGAATACAGACTTTACCTTTGTCATAATAAGACAATTATGGGTAATTAATGACCTTAAATGTTACGTTATGCAATCATATACATTAAATACATATTCTCTAACGTTTCTAGTATTTAATACTCATTAAATATTGTATCTGGGCTCTTTTTTTATGTCAGATTCATTCCTTTGACTCTTCACGATCTTTGACTTTTCAATGTCTTGAATAGGTACGAGCGTTGAATTACTTGTATGACTGCTCGTGCCTTCCCCATTTAACTTGTTCGTATCTGTTGTTGCTCATATCTGTTGTTGCTCGTATCTGTTGTTGCTCGTATCTGTTAACCAACCTTAATTCTTTGACTGTTTGACCAGTCTACGTGTCATGACACGTCACCATATATATATAAATGCAATTTTCCCCAATACAGTCAATGTACTACTATTCTTTATACTGTTGTGATTTGCATGCTTGTTTGGAGCCGAGGGTCTACAGGAAATAGCCTCTCTACCTGCACAAGGTAGGGGTAAGGTTTTGTACACACTATCCTCCCCCGACCCCTATTTGTTGTTGTTGTCGTCGTTGTCAATGTGCTACTACTAACTAATTGACATGTATTTTTAATAAGGTCTTGTAGTTGATTGTGGCGATGGAGGTTGTTGTGCAATTCCATTTATTGAAGGATACCCATTTTTGTCTGCTGTTTCACAATCATATGTTACTCCTCGTGATCTCTCTCGAAATCTAGGGGCAATGATAAACTATGAAGTACTCGTACATGGTAAACAAATTAGCGGGCCGTTGTGCTTAGCTGATGACATAAGGAATAAATGTTGTTATATCGCATTGGATTTTGAAGAGGAGATGGAGATAGCGAAAAATAACTCTGCAATGATCGAGGAGTCTTACGAATTACCTAGTGGAAAAATCTTAACCATTGCTTCACAGAGGTTTCGTTTTCCTGAAGTACTATTCAATTCATCAGTTTCATTTCTTAGACTTGATAGTTTAAGCATTCATGAAATGACATACAATTCTATTATGAAATCTGATGTGAATATAAGACGGAGTTTATTTAAGAATATTGTTCTTGCTGGTGGTTTAACCATGATTCGAGGTTTCGTAGATCGTTTCACTAAAGAAATGACATCTCTAGCTCCCAACAACATGAAAATCGAAGTGGTTGCTCCTCTCGAGAGAAAATATAGTGCATGGAATGGAGGATCCATCTTAGCATCCCTGGATAGTTTTGAGCAGGTTTATTCTCTTCTTCCTATCACTAACAACTCTTATTATCTTGTTGTTGTTACTGCTTGTTGCTACTGCTTTCTTTTCCTCTTTCCTTGAGCCGGGGGTCTGTCAGAAACAGTCTCTCTACCCTCAAGTTGGGGGTAAGGTCTTCGTACACACTACTCCCCCAGACCCCACTTTTGGGATTATACTTCCTATCACTAGCAGTTCTTACTTTCTCGTCATTTGTATATCTTCCTATGTTCTAATTCTAGCTTTACTTTCAAGGTGTGCAGTACTGTTTCATCAATCAACATTCTTCGTAGTAATATTGTCTTTTCAACAGATTTTGAATTATATGGTTTATACTTGCCTAGTATGAACTTGTTAAAAGTATAGCTAGGTTGAAAGATCACTCTAAAATATGGTCAGTTAAAACACTTAAAACAGATTTAGAAATTTGAGAAAAGAAATGCTCCTCTTTACCATTATCAATATATCTGAATTTGATCTGAGATTATTAGGATCGAGTCGAATGTGTTTTAGTTGGTTTTGTGTATGAGATAATCATTTTCAGGACTGGCATTTCATTTTAATTAATGAGTTGAAAACACACCATGGTGCTTGGAAAAAAGTAAGGGAGTTATTTCGATGACTACCTTTTTGTTACTATATTGTTTTTGTACAACAGTGACAGACATATTAGGTGTAAAATCTCTGATGCTATACTATTGTTAGATTTCTAGTTTTACGTGTTGTCCGTTTTGCTTCGTCCTTTTGTTATCTTGTTGTTGTTAGTGTTTGTGCTACTCAGTGTTGTCAAAGGCGTGCCTAAGCCCTGAAGCGAGGTTCAAAACATATTGAGCGCTTCGCCTCGCTTTGGGGGCGCTTCTGTGTCGCATCAAGGCGCTAAGGCATACTTTTCCTTGCCGATGAGTGTAATCCTGAAAAGACGACACTAAACAAATGATATTTCATTTTATCGTAATTATTTATCAATTTTTTGTCTGTATATGTGTTATTCATGCTTATAATATTGGTCTTGGACTATATATATATATATATATATATATATATATATATATATATATATAAGGGGTATTTCAGGGCATAATTTTGATAATACTGTAACGATATAGGTCTACAGAATAAGAGAGAGAGAGAGTACCGAATAGGATGTTACAACATAAGAGTTTAACGTTTTTACAGCACTAAATTTACCGTACCAGTAAAATTATTTTACTGAACCAGTAAATATTTCAAAAACAATATTACTGTTAATGCCTATTAATCGTAATAACTATACCCATCCGGAAGGATTTGCTAGAAGCCTTAC